ACCCCAAAACCCCAAAACCCCAAAACCCCAAAACCCCTAAAATTATAGCACAATTGAATTACTCATCAGAATCTGAGCTATAAGCCATTAGCCCCTTCAGAGTGTCTGGTATTTCTTCCTTCTTTTCTTCTATTCCTGGTTGCTTTTCCTCCGTGGTTGCATCCTTCTCAGTTCTCTCAGAGATTTTCTGTCTCTTGGAGGCACTAATAATATTCAAAATATTATCTTCATCTTTATCATCTCCTTTCTTTCTCTTTATAGCACGACTAGAGATGGTTAAGCAGAAATTGATGATGAAATAGCGTACTTTACAAAGTTGAATCTGGGACCTTTCTTGGTGATAGTCTATGAGTGAGTTATATGAACTTATTTACCTCACTAACCTCTTCTCCGTCATCATCATCACTATTACTCTCTTGAACTTTCTCCTTTTCTTTTCCCTTACTTTTTCTGTAGATCAGTGATGAAATCTTACTTTGCTGGTCTTTTAAAGCTAATATTTTTGTCAAAATTTAGTACATCATCTTCAGAGTCTTCCTTCTCACCATCCAAAGTTAACTTAGGCTTCTAGAATAATGTTAAAATGTAAATATTACCTTGTAGATAATTTCAGCCCTAGCTAACTTGAACTGATTGATATCACTTTTCTCTCTATTGCTGTTCAATATAGTCTCAATTTGGGCGGATTCCTATTGAATTAACTGACAAGACTTACGGTGGCTCTACAATTATCAAAGTCATCTTCTCTATTGACCACAAGTTCCACATCAGGGTTTGTCAATTCTAATGGGTTAGTATTGAATATTTATGCCATCTACCGATATCTCCAATGTATTTGGCAATCTGCTCCTCTTGTTTCTTCTTAATACTCTTAATTTTCTCTTGGAGTTCAAGCTCTTTCTTCTTTTCTTCTTTAATCTTATTCATTTTAGATTTAGCCTTCATGATCTCAAGATCTTTTTGTGTATATTCTTCGAACACGTAAGTTGGTTGAATATTTCCCTAGATTGGTTAAGAAATTCCTGAAAACACATACAGATGCCTCTTGGGACAACATTTGGTCAGAAGGATCTAAAGGATAAGTTTGAGGCTTACCATTTTTGGGTTCCAAAAAATTTGACATTTTCTTCAATTATTATGAGATAATTGGGGTTTTGGGGTTTTGGGGTTTTGGGGTTTTGGGGTTTTGGGG